ATGATCTGATACATTAAATCCTCGAGGCTCTGTGGTGATGGGGACTGCGGCCAATTATCCGCACAGGACTCAGAGTCACATCTAACCTGCCTAATGATCTTTTAACCCCCCATTTACTCCGACTGAAGGCGACAGCGGGGGGACTGCAAATCTCCAATTAATACTTAATAGGAGGGTTGTTACCGATATATTACTGGGTTATCATTTTATAATCTATAGAGCAGCTTCCTTTAATTATGCTTCACCCTGCACACCTACTCCGGATCCCCTCTCGCTTCCACATTTTACAAAACCGTTTTACTACTTTATGCTCTGATCAAAGCCCTGTAAGCTCCCAAGGTCTACCTCACAATATAATAATAATAATAATAATAATAATAATAATAATAATAATAATAATAATAATAATAATAATAATAATAATAATATAATAATAATAATTTTACGTTTTTTAATTCATGAGTGTAAAACTTAAAAGAAGCGCACAATGCCTTGCTTTACTGTATTTTACTGCTGCAGCTGCCGACAGATGAATTATGATTATAACACTGCTAATTTTCTGTCGGCCCTTGTATAACTCCGGGTTATGAGGAGACCGTCTTGAAGACTCTTGAAACAGATTTGCGCTTTTCCACTTGGCTGGAGAGGCTCCCAGCATGGCTAAACGTGGCTGCAAAGCGTGATGGCTGCGCTGTGCCAGAACACCCAGCACTCCCAGCAGCCGGCACCAGTTGGCGGCTTTCGCCCCGTTGCGCGGGGCCAACAAACAGAAACCTCCCCTATAAATTAGCCCATTTCCAAATGAAGCTGACTATTTGAGCCAATGTTCAGTTCTAATGAGTTCAACGTGAGCGCGGTGTTTGCAGGGAGGAGGTCTCTCTTAACGAGGGGTGAAGGAGGTGAGAGGTCTGCGGAGGGGAGCAGAGGGCCCCTCCGGGATCAGTCCTGTCCCACCATCGCAGACTGGTAGCTTGGCAAAGATTCTTTTTTTAATAAAATGCAATCTGTTACTTCACACCTATTAGGTTTATCGCTGCCTGACACCATTTAGTAAAGAGAAGGTGTGAGGGTCACCTCTGCTCACGTTCAGGTGTCCCGTGAGTGTGGTGTTCAGTGAGTTCAGGGATGTTTTGGAACCATTAGGAATCCTGATTTTTAGTTTTATTTTCTTTGAACGCAAATACCCGACGCTCCTCCTACCTGGATGACCCTCATGTTGAGGCCGGTCTCCTGAGCCAGCTGCTCCCGGATGTGTCGGGTGGGTTTCGGGGTGGCAGCGAACGCCGCCTTCAGGGTCTCAAGCTGCTTGGCCTTGATGGTGGTCCGAGGGCCGCGCCGCTTTCCGCCCAGGTTCTGGTCGTCGTTCTCGTTGTTGACCGTCTCCTTGTCGGAGAGGGCTGCCATCTCCGTGTCTTTTAGGACAACGTCGTCCTGGAGCTGGTCCTGAGAGTCCGGAGATAAACTGGGATCGCTGCATGCCGTTACTACAGTGGAAACAGGACAGGACGGGACGGGACGGGAGGACTGTCACTGGTGACATACTGGTCAGTAGAAGGTGGCTGACCAGAGATCCCTGGGACAAACACGCAACCTTACAGCAGGCCAAACGACTGTCTGTTTTCACATTGTTCCCAAAATGTTTTACAGCAAAAATATCTAGAATTCTAATTTAAACATCTGACATGAGGTTTTCTGAACACCTGAGAAACACCCAAACTGATCCAGAAAACACCGAGCTGCGGATAAACACCACCACCAATAATAATAATAATAATAATAATAATAATAATAATAATAATAATAATAATAGCGGTAGAGTCATCAACTCTCCGGGGTTGTTTGGGCGTCGTCTAATCCCTGGTCTTTCACATAAAAACGTTAATGTGAAGCTGAACTCATCATCATCATCATCATCATCATCATCATCATCATCATCATCATCATCATCATTTACTCCAATTCAAATCCACAGTCATTCATTTATTTGCGTAAAAGACGATGTGCGCGCGCACATGCAGACAGAGATGCTCGCCCACGACAGCCACCGTACCTGAGAGGAGGTTCGTGTCTTTCACACTCATGTTACTGAGGTAATCGTCCTTACAAACAAATTTGTTCTCGTCTATGATGTAGAGCTCTTCTCCAGTGGAGAGCTGCTTATTGCACATCATGCAGGTGAAACAGTTGAGGTGGAACACCTTGCTCCGGGCCCTCCGGACCAGGTCGTTCGGAGAGATTCCTTGCGAGCAGCCGCCACATTTGGTACCGAACCGCCTGCAGGAGGAGAAACAACCAGATGTGGTTACAGCCGCAGTTAATTAGTCGTTTTCCTTTCCTTTTTTTTTTCGTTTAAACGGTTTAAGATTTTTGACAGCTTGAGAACTGCAGGTTTTACGAGGGCTGATTAAATGCAATTAATGTCAACACTTGTGTCCACACACAACCTTTACCTAAAAAAAAGAAAAAGAAAATGAAATGGAAAATAAATGAAATGAAATAAAGTTAAAAATTAGAACAGATGCTGATGAATTTATTGTCGGCGAAACAGGAATTATTATATTAGATAATTTCAGGACGTTTTAAAGTAGATATACAATTGTGATTTCAGGGTTGTACATGGGGCTTTTAAAAAATAATTCCTTTAGAACTCAGTCAACCAAGGACAAAAGGAATGTAGTAGAAACGAAGCCACGACCATTCAGAGAACGACTAGTTAATCACTATTTATCAATAATGAAATGCAACCTTATGCAGAATTTATCTCTCACCTCTAACCATGTTTCTACTTCTATAATAATAATAATAATAATAATAATAATAATAATAATAATAATAGTAGCTATTATTATTAGTAGTAGTATTAGTATTATTTTTATTAAAATAATAATTGTAAAAATAACTATTATCATTATTAGCGATAATATCAAAATTATTAATAATATTTGAGCAATAGTTTATTTTCAGAGAATTTCATCGTTTTCTTTCATTTTCAACCATCTTTAAATCTTCCCACATGTTGAAAGCTTCCTTCTGTCCTGCATCGCTTCTTCTTCGCATCCTTCAGTAAAGTCGTGTTTTCCTTTAACGCTCACTTGCTCTGAATAAATGGACACGCTGGTTCAAAAGGATGATAAAGGGGGGAACCTGCCACAGCCAGAGCTCTCCCCGTTCTACTTTGTATATTGGCTGCTGTGTTGACAAAGTGTCTGTGGACTTGATCTTCTCGACCAGTTCACTATTCAAATCCACTTATCACGTCCTCCTCAGTCGGACTGGGCAAACAGCGCGGGCCAGCGGGTTGGCCCAGCCCGGGTTTGATCCGGCGCTCTGTCCTCGATGTTAGAAAAAATACACCCAGGTGTGATTTCCTCGCTTCCCCCGACAAATCGCCCCCTGTTTTCACGCTTCACCTCGCCGAGAGAGAGGCGCACACGCGTTGGATGCTCGTCCTGTCCTTTTGTTTTTGTTTCCCATTGAATTCCAAATAAGCTTTTCATTAATCACACGCTAATCAAAGCCCGTCGTCTCCGGGTGCTGAGTGTGACTTTGTCGTTTTTGAGTAAAATGAGAAAACAAATACACCCTGCTTTAAAAAAATATCTGTTGCATTTGAGGCTGTTATTTGAGTTGACCTTTACCCCCTCTCTGTTCTTATTTTATTTCAACCTGCTTGCATTTTTTTGTATGTTTTGTTGTTTTTTTTTTGTAGTTGACCGTTTTAAATGTATGTCCCCCCCAAAAAAAAAAAAATACTGTACATACATATACAAACTTTAAAATATCCCTATTAATATTTATAATTCAGAGCGTTTCTATTGACTTTAGGGACATCTTTCACTATTTATCCTGAATCTGAATTTTCTGAATTAATATCCATAGTGTACCTGTTCCTATTTTCCTGCTGTTTCAACACAAGATCTGCTCCCAATAAAAAAACAAACTGGTGCCGGTGAGTTTCTGCAGCATCACCCCGAGGCTTACCTAAAAAAATCGTTTTTGCAGTACAGTCTCCCCTCTCTAGAAAAACACTTCTCGGTCAGATTACATTTGCACTCGCAGCACTGCACGCACTTGACGTGCCAGGCTCTGTCTAGCACGTTGAGCAGGAAGCGGTCCAGGATAGGCCTCTCGCAGCCGGCGCAGTGGACCATGGCTTCGGCTGGGCTCGCGGCAACCCCCCACGAGCGACGCGCACGCACAAACCCAATCACCGGCGCAGGCCGAGCATTGACCGAGTGTTTGAGTTCTGCCTCTGCCGATTCCGCCTCCAGCTCCGGGGTCAGTGTTCGCGGAGAGGCCAGTCGATCAGCTGTCACTACAGATCTCTCCCCGTATGCGTAAAAACAGGCTCCGTCTGAAGAGGAAACACAAGAGCAGAAGGCGCCGAAGGTCCTCAGTGGGATAAACAACTGGGGGATCAGTCCTGTTCGTGGGCCCGAGGCAAAATTCTGAATTCAGGTCTGATACAGATGATAGGCTCAGGAGGCAGCTTGTTCTTCCCGGCGATCTTGGAGGTGATGCATCGGTCAGCACGCGGAGCGGCCGCCGGTCAGGAGCATCTAACGAACCGCTTTCAGATCACAGCTTTCACACAGTAATTCGGTTGGTTTATAACGTGGCGGCGTATCCAGTCTTTCAAACGAGAAGCAAGAAACAAAATCGTAAAGCCAAAAAGAAAAAAAAAGTGAAAAAAAATTAAAAAAAAAGATTTTATCAGAGTGTTTTTCCCCTCCGGCTCTGCGGGCTGATCCTGGAGCTGTGCTGGCGGCGCGATGCTGGGTTGCCCCCTTCAGTCTCCGGTATGGTGCGTGTGCCGGGATGTGCTGGGGTCTCCGGTTCACTGTCTTGCTCCTAAAGCTCCAACACCAGCCTTATTCCAGTCCTCCTGACGTCAGGTGGCAGCCGGACCAATCAGCGCGGAGCCACGCGAGGAGCCATCAAACCTCCCCATCAAAACCCAGCAAGTGCTCTGCCTGCTATTTATGCCGCACACTCAGGACACCAATTGTCAAAAAATTTCCCTGCAAAGTGTCATATGTTAGAGAGGGCGTCTGCAGGAGGCAGCGGCGGCGGCGGCGGCGCGCAGGGAGACTGTTGCTGCAGCGCAGAGCTGCCTTTTGGGCATGACGAGGAGGAATCCGAGCAGGTACACGCGCGCACTTCTCCTTGGGATAAACAGGCTCGAGGCGCAGATTGTAGGCGCGCGCGCTCTCTTCTCTGTTTAGTTTTGGTCGGTGTTGGTGTGTGAGAGCATCCCGAAGGCCCAACGCGGCGGAGCGTCGCCGCTGCACTCTAAACTGTTTGGACTCATCTAAATATTTCCTCTCACAGCAGGAGGCTGCGCACTGCCGAGGGCTCATTTTAGATGATAGCACCATGATGATGATGGTGATGGTGATGATGATGTCTCGTCCCCGGCGATGCCGCGCGCAGCTCTCCCATTTTCTCTCGTGGAAGTGAAAGATTGAAAGGCTCGAAAGTTGACAGCTCTTCCAGGCGATTCTTTACGGGAACTCAATCCACTTCCACCGCAGCGCGGCCCCGCCCCGCCCCGCTCCGCGCTGATAAGTCCCGTCGTTTGATTTTCGGCTGGAAACAACAAAAAGTTGTGATGAAGGTTTGGCTTCAAGATGACAAAGATCTAACAAGAAAGAGGTTGGAAGTTTTTTCTTTCTTTCTTTGTTTTTTTTTTTTTAAACTTTGGTCACTTATCGCGTTGGCTATTGCGGTTCATGTTTGCGTGTTTATTTGCACACTTTTAACTGAAGAATTGCGCATGTGCTGTGGAGGAAAGTCGCCGCAAACTCCCATGCATATGCGCTGCTTCCCATGCAACAGTCCAGCTGACCGCTCCCCCCCCTCCCCCGGATCTCCCAACCAACCAACACCACCTCCCCCATTGGAGAGGAGAACCCCTTCAAGAGAGAGAGAGAGAGAGGGAGAGAGAGAGAGGGAGGGGGGGGAGAGCATAATGTAAACAGGTTTGCTTAGCTCGCTTTCTTTCTTTCTTTCTTTCTTTCTTTCTTTCTTTCTTTCTTTCTTTCTTTCTTTCTTTCTTTCTTTCTTTCTCATAGACCATCTTCTTTCTGTTTTATTCCTACGGAGGAAAAATCATGAACGGGCCACTTGACTGGATGAGATTTTCCAAAAAAGAATCTCCTCATCTTCTGCGCATCTTGTGGACCACAGAGCCTGACTCTGTTGCCACTAAATCCAGATAGAAAAATGACCCAGCCCCCCCCCCCCCCCCCCTCCTCCCGTTTCCCCCCCCCCCCCAAACCCTCCCACCTCCCACCCCCATCTTAACCCCGAATGTAAACAACAAAATGTTGATACTTCCATGTGTGGAAGATGCACTGATAGTGTGTCAGTAGGGATAATCTGTGCCTGATTTAGAAAAAGCTAAGAGGGAAGAAGAACTAGAAGCTGCGGCAAGGCGCGGATTAATCCACCAATGAAAAAGAGGGAGAGAAAAAAATCTAAATAAACTATAATCTTGAACATATCTGCTTCCCTCCAGCCAGAGACACTATTAAATGAAGGGAGAAAATGGTTTGAACCTCACCGATGTAATCCTTTGCTTAGAACAGATTTTTATTCGCACTTTCCTTCTGATGCAGGCGCAAGTTGTAAATTGGAATCATTGCGCTGCAGCCTCTGGGCCCAGTTTAAAGAAAACAAAACTTCTCTCTCTCTCTCTCTCTCTCTCTCTCTCTCTTGTTTTCTTTCAGCCTCTCGCTTTAAACTCGGAATGGTTTGACACAGATCGAGCAACAGATTGAGAAGACAAAATACCCACTAAAGGGAACGAAGAGGAAATCTGAAAATATGTTAATTGATACCCAATACAAGAATATCACAAAATAATAATAACAATAACCTGAATAGATGTATGTTGTTGTTTTCTTCGTTCTCTCTAATAAGAAACTAATTTTAAACGGCCCCAGCAGGTACGGGCTCCTATCGGAGCAGCCCGGAAGACTTGGAGTTTATGAAGTGCAGACCAGTGAGACTCCACTGCGAGATAATTCATGTGAGATAATGAAAGAGGCTGTGGAGATGCATGCAATCTTTCACTGTGATCACGGCTCGTTGATTTGTCTCTCCTCTCCTCTGCAGAGTCAGCTCGGAGTCGCGGGTGTCACCACGCCACGCATGAGGGACGCGGTCCGAGGGAGGAGAGGACAAAACAAGGTTCAGTCCTGAACCGAGCAGGTGACTAGCTGCGTTCTGTGAGCATGTCGAAGGCCTATTCAAAGCCCAGAGCGAGACACAGAGCCGGACGACGGCAGAAGCAGCTGCTCTAGGCCGGGCTACCGAGGGGGGAGACACCGGGTTTAGAGAGAGATGATCATCTGGGACTGGAGCTGCGATCAGCTGAGAGAACCGGGGAGAGGAGGGAGGCAGAGGGTCCACCGGTCCGCTCCCCATTTCTGCTGATATCGATTTCTTCTTTTTTTTTCTTTTCCTTTCTTTTCTTTTCTTTCATTCTTTTTCTTTTTTATTTTGCTTTCTTTCATTTCCTTCTCTTTTCTTCAAATATTTCGCTCAGGCAAACAAAGAGAAATAAAGGATTTTACCCGAAACGGACTTTGATTTCTGACGTTTTCCCCGCTTCAGACTCTGGTTCTGAGCCTTGGAAATGTTTGAAATTTTGTTTATGTAGCCTATTTATTTATTTTTGTCCATGGATCAAAATTTATTCACACTGACTGAACGGAACCAGCAACACTAAGATCTCATAGGCTTTTTTATAAATTGCACGCCGCCTGAGAAGTTCCGCTAAGTGCTTTGAACTGAACTGGGCGGAAGTGGCGCAGTTTAACGGAGTGTTTCCTTTTCGGTTGCGCCAGGCAACACGGTGACATGTTGGCGGTGTAACCCACATGCTTCGGGTTACCCGGGTCAGTGCGTGGTGGTGAGACAAGCCCACTCCCACTCCAGCACGCCGTCAGCCCCAAAACATATTCCGACGTGAACTCGGCGCAGATTATCGAACCAGCACCAACTCTGAGCAAACATTTTTCCAGACTCCCCAACTCCGCTGCGGCCTGTGCTGAGAGAAATCCGATGGGATTTATAGATCATCTCCCTACAGCTGTCGCTTCTCAGCCGGTCAACCCCTGCTGACCCCCCGCCTCCACTATAGATCGACCTCAGCATCGCAAACGCTCCAATATTCGGAGGTTCGATCAGACCCAGAACCATCAGCAGACAGAACCTCGTGCAGCCCGTTTTATTCGGGGTGTTTATAGCTATGTGTGTGTGTGTGTGTGGGGGGGGGGGGGGTGGGGGTGGGGGGGGTGGGGGGGGTGATAGGCTACATCATGTATTAGTGGCTCTGAGCTCGGGAGCAGAAACCCACCGCCGAGACTCTGAGGTCAGTCAGAGAAAAGGGCGCGATCAACATCTCGTTTCCTCCTCTAGGGGGCGAATTCGGTCCGGACAAAGAAAAGGGCGCACAGGCCGTGACACGTTTTATTTTTTTAACATTATGTTTTCATTTGTATTGTATGGCGTCCAAACAGAAACACCGCTGATCCTCAGTGAAGCATTTAGTAAAGAAAAAGCTCAGAGGATCTATGATGATCTACAATGTTCTATTTTAGGAAGCGTTCATAGTTAATATCACAATCCCAATAATAATCTTCACAATTTTTACATTATTATTATTATTATTATTATTATTATTATTATTATTATTATTATTATTATTATTATTATTATTATTGTTGTTGTTGTTGTTGTTGTTGTTGTTGCCACCATCATCATTGTTATTACTTTATATGCCTATGTTGAATGAAAAACTTTTTTCTACCCCGCAATAGGTTACATAAATAAAAAATAAAAATAATAAAAAAATGGAACATTGGTTTTCCTTGATTAGTCCGAAAAAAAAAACGAGTTTTCTGTGAAGATGCTGCAGAATCAGCCTCACTGAGAGATTATCCTGCACACTGGGCCTGGAGCAGCCTGTAAAGCAGTTCCCCTAGTTTAGATTAATGGTACTGCGCGATTATTCTGCAGTCGGGGTGAAAGGGCTGGGATCACTAATGATTATAATATAATGTGTGGCGATAACCACTCCCTTTGAGATATTATCGCCCGCTGGCCAATGCTCAGGGGACGAGCTGCATGGCTGCAGAGCGCCTGATAGCTGCTGCCGCTCCGGCTGCTGCAGCAGCGGATTTTCAGAATGAGGGGGGAAAAGCGTGGAAAGCGGAGTGCTGGCTGCTGATACATGCATTAAAATATGGAGAGGAGAAAGCTGGGCGCTCATTTATTGGCCCTTTTTGTTTCCCTTGTCTGTTTCCTGGAAATTATAACGCCATAAAGATTTATATATATTTAATGCAAGAACACCCTGGACCTTTCAAATCACAGCAGGGATTTTAACCAGAACAGCACGTTCTTATTGTTTTTAACTGCAGCAATCTTCCAGGGATTTAATTGCTCCCAGAATGCAACATTTAGCTCTTTAAAAGGCTCATGGCTGCAAGAAGAAAAATGCTAAATGAAAACATTGTTTCGAAAAAAAAATGTTCCCAACGATTATTTGTTTGCCTGAGAAACTGAAATGATAGATATGTTTTTATTCAAATGACGGGAACACAATATTTTTCATCATCTGAGGCCTTCAAACAGCCCACGTGAGATTTGGTTTCACCTTTTTACAAAATTCATTGTATTCTTTTTAGTTGATTTCTTCCCCACTCATTATAATATAAATCTCATGCCTACACTTCATCTCTGCGGTGCCATTTTAGAGACAAATAAGTCATTTTAATAATAATAATAATAACAATAATGTTAAAAAAGCAGTATTTTCTAATGATAATTGCGCTGTTTTAATAACTGCTGATGGATTTTTAAAAAAAAAAACAAAAGTGGACATACTTTGAGGTCTGATGCCTTAAACTCAACGTGGAAAATCTCGGAAGGCCTGAGAATATTAAATAGGAGGAAATGATGACAGTTTCTCCTAATATTCCTCCTTCGTACAGCTACAAATATGAATTGCATTTTCTCTCTCCATAGTCAATGAAATCAAAAGTAAAAGAAAAAAAAAATCAGAGTAGTGCAACTTTTCTAAAGCCGATTAGGGAGAAAATCCGGAATAATTATCGGAATTAGCTGATCAATAGTCTAAGAAACAAAACAGAGAGTGTTCGGTTCGGGGGGGAGCAGGAGGACCGTGGAAGGAAAACTGAAGTGGCTGATCCTGCTGCGGCGCTCGCACAGCAGCCGCTCCCGCTATCCATCTTCACCGGAGCTTTTGTGTGCGCAAAAACCAAAGGAGCGTAGAAGGTAAAGCCCGGCGTCAGAGCCGCGGCTTTCTTTTTTATATCCAATAGATCAGGAGGCAGACAAAGCTTTATTTTCGCCAGGAGAGAGATATTTTACCTCTGCCTTACGGTTTTATGTTGGAGAGGTGTCAGCCGCTGGAAATGGATGGCTAATGCATAGGCAAAGCGCTGCTCGCCTCGGCATGCTGCACGTCAGAGGGGGGCTACGGGAAAGAGCTGCGGGGATTTAGGGCCCCTGGGGGCCCAGCACGGGGTGACGGAGCAACAGGGGCGACAGAATCGACAGAAGCCTCCTCGGCTGAACCGATAGAGCTCATAATGAAAGAACGCAGGCATTAGACAAGAGCTGACCCACACTGCCACTGTCCCAGAATGTGTGCATAACCATGTGAAAAACACACAAGCCTATCCATCTGCAGCACTAGATTTCCATATGAAATATATGGAGTATATAGAAAAGGTAAAACATGTAGAACTGAAAACTATTCTCCCCTGTATCAACAAATATTCAGCACCAACAAAATGGAGTTTTTTTTCCTGAATTCGTGAGTGAGTGATATAAAAACCTCTTTTGATTTCCTAATAGAACTGTAGTTCTTTAAGTAATGTGCTGCTTTATTCCACTGTCTTCATGACTGTAAGCAAAACAGCAGAATGTCCAAAAGGCAAATTATAAAAAAAAAAAAAAATGGAGGGCAATTAGAAACTGAGGCAGTAGTAGAGGAGCTAACAGAACTAACAGGATGGTAACATTTGACATTCAGGATGGTAATATATGATTGGAAAAAGAAAATGGAACATTAAAAATGTCTCCTTTTGACAGATTGTCAGACTGATTTACAGGGAAACTGTTGAAGAGGAAAAAGTGTTGTGAAAGAAGCATTTTGAACGTACAGGAGACTGGCTGACCAAATAACTTGGTGGGAAAAGTTTGATTGGAAATTTTAAGGCAATAATTACTCAGGATGAGACCTGTTTGTGATTAAATGCTGTCTATTTATTTATGTATTTGCGTTTTGGAATTAATAGAGAAATTTTAAGATACATTAATGTAAAAAAAAAAAACAAACAAAACAAACAAACAAAAAAACAATACTTCAAGTAAGTAGGTCAAAATCATCCTGAAGCTCTGTGTTGCTAACCTCTTCTACATCTCTACATAGTTTATAGGCTAGTTGTTATAGTCTCATCCTCTGTTAACTCACTTACATAAATGCAGTTTCCTCGCTATATGCAGCAAAGAGGTAACAAGATTTACAATACTGCTGGAAACAGAGGGCCTCCCTGTCATATTTCTCTCCCATGCTAAATAGAAATCTTAAGAAGTAATTGGAATTTACAGCATACCTGAATAACTGCATATAAATAAGCACACATTTCATCAGGGGGTTCAGTGACACTGTTTGGTGGCATAAAAACCGCTGCATATATTATAATACGCAGCAAATAATCTTATTTTGCTGCAGCCCCTTGCTACATGCTTGGGATTCCATCCAAATTACAGAGGATTCAAACAAGCGTTTTCAATTGATTAAACCTATATGGGCAACATTTCATTTTAATGGGACAATTTATTTCTGGGAAGAGATTATCAAGGGCTGCTGGAAACCATGGCAGTGTGTAAATCTGACACTGTTTATTTCATTTAAAGTCAGGCAGCCTCATTCAGCTCTTTCCTCCTTCGTCTGAGTGTAGGAGGGGGTTTCAGGTGTCGCCAAGGCCTCATCTTCCTCACCTTCCTCTGTAGTTACCAGACAAACAAGCTCATTGCCTTTGGCCCGGTCTCCCAGAAAAATTCTCCAATTCTCATCACCTTTATGAGTCTGCATTCTCTTTCTGAATTTGGAGGAGGAAGAAGCAAATCCTCTGGATGGGATTGGTAGTCATGCCCCCGGGCTCACGGTCAGACAATCACAGGATGGAAAGTGGCCGTCGACAGTCTGACTCCCCCCTCCGCCCCCCATCCCCTGTTGAGGCCACTCAGTGGATTTAGAGATAATGACATCGGCACCCGCATTAAGATTCATATTCACCATCTCTCCACATGACCCTGTTTTCCTTTTGTCCCAGACCTGTGTCAAACACCTGCCAGTCTTATCGTGTCTCTATGAACAATAATTATCAAGCAGGATGTGCATTACACACCCTCTGCTGCAGTCTGTCTACTGCAGGAAAACCGGTCAGATACTAAACTATTTTAGTTTCTTTTTCTTTCTTTTTTTTTTTGGATTCAGATAGATATTTACCCACGCAGCATGAAAAGAGGACTGCATGTTGGAACAGCTTTTGTTCTTTTAGCCTGCAGCAAGAAGGCCTGCGGTCTTTCTGCTCTGAGTGTGCATGCTCTCCTCATGCATGAATGTGTTCTCCCCAGTTACTCTGGCTTCCTCTGGAACATGGCTGTTAGGTTAATTGGTCTCTCTCTGAAAGTTGTTCTTAAGTGTGTGTGTGGGTGTGGGTGTGCGTGTTCAGGGGGAGGTGATGCAGCTGGTGATGCACTGGCCACCTGACCAGGGTGTGGATATCGATGATATCTGATATGATGACAGCCTCTTTTCTTCCTGTAAATCAGTCTAAACCTTTGGCTGTTTTTTACTGAGGATTGCCAAACCTATTTCTGTTAAACAATAAAATGTACAAAGAAAAAAAAATCAACTTTCTCGGAAATGTACACACCTTTCCTTTAAGGTGTGTGTTTGGGTTGCTTGGCTTTTGGCCCACAGAACCAGTGTAACTGGATCATGTTTCTACCAGGCCCCGTTTCTCACACATCTGTTCAGCTCTGCTCAGAGGTTTTAGGTTTTTGTGGCGTCCACACAAGAAAACATGAACTTTATTGTCCTTAAGTTATGTTGTAACTGACTTGGTTCTATGTTTACGGTCATTGTCTATTTTGAAAGACCCATTTGCATACAAAGCATTAGGTTTCTAGAAAATGTCTTGAGATACTGCCAC